TGCGGTGCTCGTGTTGTTTGCGCGGGGATAGGGGGTTGCATATTAATCCCCCTCTTCCTTGCAATTCGCTGCAACACTGGGCACCGCCTGTCATTCGCCGAGTGATCTTTCCCGCAGTTTGCGCATTTAGGTTGCGCATCCCGCGGTTGTGGGCATGCTGAGGCCAGGTGGTCACCTGCACAGCGTACACATTTGAAGGGTCGGTAGCAGTTGTAGGATGCGTGTCCGAACCCTTGACACCTGTGACACTGCGCAGGGCCAATTCTGCCTGTCCAGCCTTCAATTGTTACTCCCGGCATGTAAAGGAGCTCATCAATTTGGTATAATCTGTTGAGCTCTTCGGGGCTTAGGTGACTCATTTTCACGTGAAACAGGCAGCCAGGCCTGCCTCTTTTTGGTGGAATTGACCGTACAAATGTAACTGGAAAGCCCTTCTCTATGAGGGCCTCCTGTATGTCTTTAGGGTCTGTATCGGCAGGGAGCCCTCTTAACCCCACCTTCGTGGGTTGCTCCTCCTGTGGGGCGTAGCAATACCACACGAAGGTGGCATCCTCCTTGCTTTTATCGATGAGGTAGCGCTGGACCTTCCGATACTCGTCGTCGGACTGGGGCCGAAAACGGACTCCCTTCCCAAACGGGCGAGCATTGGGGGCGTGACCCAAAAGTTGATGTATGATTTTGAAGTGCTTCGCCCAGTTGGGGAAGCACTCCACTATAATAGGAGGGTATTTGGCCTGGTTATTTACTGGCTGTTGTTCTTTCTGTGCAGGTGGTGGTGGAGGTGATGGTGGCGCTGACCTTGGCGCTGCTGCAATTTGCGCATAAGAGTCCGGCGCTGAAGATGGACCAGGTATAGGCTCCTGGTTTGCAGGTTGGGAGTCTTGAATTGGGGCTAGAGTGGCGTAGGACGTATTGTCCCACTCTCTCTCTCCTTCCGGGTCTTCCTCACCGAAATCCTGCATGTCAGCGGTGCAGGCCGGAGAGGTGGTTGGAGACGGTGAGTTAGGCGGTCTGTTATGTCTTACCACAGGTTGTGGGGCTTGTATCTCAGGTGGTGTGGCAGAGGCAGAAGGCGATGCCGAATCAGATAGTGAGTCTGATCCGGCTCTCAGCCTTTTCTCCTCTTGCAGCTGGTCTTGTTCTATCTCAGGAGGTGTACGTCTCCGCGAGGCTAGGCTCCGGCGTGGTAATGGAGCCAGTTCTGCGCTCGGTGAAGACACAGCTTCACCTGCGCCGAGCGCGGCGCCGGGCGCCGGTATACTGCCTATTCGCCTCGGGAGTTGGCTGTAAGGTGGGAGCACTCTAGATCTCTCAGGAGCGAAGAGGTCTCGCTCCATGAGGGGCCTGTCGAGTACTCCCGGACGCCTATCTGGTGGTTTACGGCGTGTTGGGGGAGGTTCCCCCTTGTCCGACATTACTAATTAATTATGCTCAGCCCTTAGCTATCACACACCTTACTCCCCTCAGCGCGTGCAACCACACCGGGTGAGACCCGTGAGGGAGGCCCAGCGAGGCGCCCGCGAGCAGGGAGGGGTGTGTGAGGCGCAGATGGGATGGGCGTAATCTCACTCAAATGCGGAACACTTGCAATCACTTTTTGTTATAAAAAGAGGGTACAGTGTACAAAAAGGTAAAACGTAAAGTAGGGCACAGCGTAAGTAGTGACCTTTACGCTTACCTTATTAACAGTCCGACGCAGGAAATGCGCCAGCGACGCCTCGACGCCAAACGGAGCGAACTCGACGTCGGCGGAGTCAATCACTAGCACAACACGTACACAACACAGGAGCGCACTAGACACGTCCGCACTGTAGCACGGCCCGCGACGAACTGAGGTGGCGACACTATCGCACACCTTACCCCCCCAACCAAAGCTTAACCGTAAGGAGAACCGCGGTGCTGCGAGACGTTTTCTCGTACGAACACTTCTAACTTTTCACTAGAACGTCTCGAATAAAATTTAATTTTTACCGTGATATATAAATATTATCGTATTCAGAAAGTTAATACGGTATATATTTGAGATTGTGCACGTAACAGACAAACCCGTTACGTATATAAGCGATCGAGAAACGAGCAATGGATGTTTATTTTGTTCACTATATTCTGAGCGTACCATGAGCCGCCTTTTAAAATGATTTTTCTCTATTTGCTCATTAGTTTAGTTAAATTTAAATCGGTCTATTGAAAGTTAATATCCTGAGGTTAGACAGAAGGCAGAGGTCACGCCGGTAATGCATTATTCGTAATGCAACGACCTATTATACGTCGAAGGTCGTAAAACACGAAGAGGTCTCGAGGCTCACAGACCGAAGTCCCTATACAAAGCGTAGGATCTTTGAAAATAGTCTATAATATTTTAAAATTTGTCCACTGTAATCTGAAATAATTATTATAAATCATCATTATTTCTAGAATGTTGCAACACGTTCCCATACTTCTTCAAAATACGTACAAAAGCTGGGCTGGGCAGTCACGCTTCAGAGCAACGTATGTTTATAAAGCGTTAAGTATTTAAAAAAAAAAAAAAATGAAGTGTGATATTATTAAAATATAGTATATCATATTATTATGTATATATTAAATAATAAGGGAGATAAATAAGAGAAAAAAAAAATACAATTCGGAATTATGATAATATATTCCTAAGACGTTCGAACCATTATTTCAATATGGCGATATCTTACACTTGTTTAGTAGGTATCGTCAAATTTAAGAAGAGTATAGTCATTTAAACGTGTGTGTGCATACATGAATTGTCGTTTCTTTCATTCAGATCAGTTTTTCGAAATTATTTCGAATTAAAAAAAAAAAAAAAATAAACCTAATTTTGTTCTCCGCGTTTAATTGGTATATATAAATATTATGTGATGCCTTTACAGCTTTTAAATAACATAACTTTGTAGACAGACACATCTAATTCTAATATGCACTTACATACATGATCATAAACACACATACATTCGCACTTATATACATAATCATGCCATTTATACACATATCCATACAACAAAATACATGCTTGCACATATCATTTGACGATACTCTACGAAACAAATACAAGGTATATCGATAGTTTTGCGGCCCTGAAAAGGGCCTTTTTTTTTTATTAACTTATACGATTAGAAAAATCGTCTCATCACGTAACTTAACTCTCAGAGTCCCGCATACCAAGTAGCAAATACACACTGCGCACATGGTGTACTATAGACGAACTTAGAGCGGACAGAGAGCCGTAGTACGTGGCGGTGGACGACGTCTCCATCGCGTATAAGAAATTAACCACCGAATCCGTAGAGGGTACGTCCTTGACGTTTCAGGGCGTAGACGACATCCATGGCGGTGACGGTTTTCCTCTTCGCATGCTCGGTGTATGTAACAGCGTCACGAATCACGTTCTCAAGGAACACCTTGAGTACACCGCGTGTCTCTTCGTAGATTAACCCGGAGATACGTTTCACACCGCCCCTGCGTGCGAGACGTCTGATAGCCGGTTTGGTGATACCCTGGATGTTATCACGAAGAACTTTTCTGTGCCGCTTCGCTCCACCTTTCCCCAAACCTTTACCACCTTTACCGCGACCGGTCATTTTCGCTTAGAGAAGAAAGACAACACACGAAATAATATATATAGAGACTTAACGTACGTTACGAACGCACGACGACAGATAGACCGCACTAACTTTTTTCCCGTTTATATAAAGTCACCCAGACGACTGAGACGGCTGAGGCGAGGGTGCGGGGAAGTATAAAATGGCGGGCAAATAAAAAGACGATGGCGGGGGGGTGGGGGGTGGGGGGGGGGAATTGGATGTTTCGTGTTGCTGTAGATGGTACCCGGAAAAAAAAAAAATTTGTCGAAATATCGTTTAAAATTGGAAGAGGTAGTTTCTATATAATAATAAATAAATTTGTCAGTTCGATACGCGCGCCATCTATTGTAAGTTTATTAGTTAGCAATAAGTTGACTAAGTTTTAGCGCAATCTGATGAACGGTATGGTAGCGCATTATATACGAACAAACAAAAAAAAAATATTTATATATTAGAATATAGAAAGGTATCTAATTAGTTACTACGTATAAGGTAATACGATTTTGTCCTGCGCCAATGGCTAGACTCTCCATCCAATGAATCCTGAGGTCAATCCGCATACTATTAAAAAAAAAAAAAAAAAAGAAATTAGTTAATCCCCCATTAATTTTAATACTCAAAGCCCGCCATGAAATAATGTCGCGGGGTGAACGAGGTGTATATAAAGTACAGATAATATTATTGTCGAAACATGTCGTTTTCTATTTTGTATCACTTCATTTAATATGATTATCCAAAGTAAGATATTATAATTTATATTATTATGAAGACGAAGATTTTTATTTATTAAAAAAAAAAAAAAAAAACTGTATCCTAACTAACAGAAGCGTTCTGCGCGTGAACATTGGTGGTGGTAGACTTCGCGGGCAGCGGCGGCGCAGGCATCGTCGGCGCCGATCGTCGATGATGGTGATGAATGATCATCCGTCGTGAGACAGGTAAGCTTTACCCTACTGTGTATCTTATGATGTTAAATAGTATACAGTTTGTCGTCTATTATACTAGATTAGTACATCTATCTATTAATTTATTTAAACGGTATCTAAATAAACATTTCGATTTGCTGAGCCCTTAATTCGATATTATGTTTTTGTTGTTATCTCATAATATTACCATACCATACTATCTATCTATATATCTATCTATCTATTACTTGCTCGTTTAACGTTCTCTTATATTCTAAAGAAACGCACAGTTTATTGTGTAGAAACATATGCGGCCCTGAAAAGGGCCTTTTATGAAAGTGAAAGAGAACATACGTTAAAACCAACACAATCATCATCATCTTGTCAACGTGTAGTTGTTGTTAATGAGGCATATTTAATATTGCCACTTTCACACTGCCAATCGATGATTGATGTTAAAAATTAAACGTAGTTCACAACACAATCGGTAGAGTAGAGTTTATTAAGCTCGTTCCCCGCGAATTCTGCGCGCCAACTGTATGTCTTTCGGCATAATGGTTACGCGTTTTGCATGAATCGCGCATAAGTTGGTATCTTCGAACAACCCGACTAGGTAAGCTTCGCTAGCCTCTTGAAGGGCCATCACGGCGGAGCTCTGGAAGCGGAGGTCGGTCTTGAAATCCTGAGCGATTTCACGCACCAAACGTTGGAACGGCAATTTGCGGATGAGGAGCTCGGTGCTCTTCTGGTAGCGACGAATCTCACGGAGAGCGACGGTACCGGGCCTGTAGCGATGTGGTTTCTTAACACCGCCGGTTGCTGGTGCGCTCTTACGGGCTGCTTTGGTGGCCAGTTGTTTACGCGGCGCTTTACCACCGGTGGATTTCCGAGCGGTCTGCTTAGTACGTGCCATTGTTACGTTACACTAACTCAACTAATACACAATATATTCACTATACGACTATACGTTCTCAACGCGCGGGATACTGAAATCGTCGTTTTTTTTTTTTTTTTTTTTTTTGCGCCCGAAGCAATTGGAAAAGGGCTACCCCGAAGGGAGGCAGAAAATGCATTACGCATACCACGATGGCCGGTCCATCGTGGTTATGAGGGACTCACTACCTACAAGGGGGAACCTAAGTGATACCCTCTAAAAACTGCCTTTGGGGACTGGCAACCAGCTGTTGAAAGCTTCACATGCCGTATCGTAAAGCGACCCTCTTTTGGGAAAAGAGGGCGCAGGCGGCTATAAGCCGCTGAGGGAGTGCCTGGGAAGGCAAATTAATTATGAATAACTTAATTAGAGTTGGCCTGAGCCGCCAGGAGGCAGTTCAGGTCGTTTGAAAGTTTATTAGGCGGGTCCGAGAGGGAGTTCCTCGGCCTGCGGACGCTATAGCGGGAGGGGAGTGGGGCTGCATAATTAGCAGCCTCACGAATAAAATGATTGGAATGCGACTCTGAGGCTTTGAAGAAGTTCTCAGAGAGTTTTTTAAGGAATTGTTGAATTGTAGGGAGCTCTAGGTCCCGATGAAGGTCGGCATTGCGGACGTACCAAGGTGCGTTCGCAGCTCGACGACAGAAAAGGTTTTGAACTACTTGGAGTTCATTAATAATTTTAGGGTTAGAGTGGGCGAAAATGGGGCCCGCGTAGGACATGACTGGTCGTATACAGACCTTATAAAGGGTACGCTTGTTTCTGAGGGACATTTTACTGTGTCGGCCCAACATACTGTTGAGCCTATTCAGGTAAAAACGTGCGTGACGGGTTACTCTTTTGACGTGGGGCCTGAAAGTTAGCCCTGTGTCTAGAGTGACACCTAAATATTTGGCAGACGTATGCCAGGGGACAGGGGTCCCTAGCATACGTATTGGTGGAGTGTTTTTGAGACGGCGTCGTTTATAATCGAAGTGAACGGCGGAGCTCTTCTCCGGGTTCACAACGATGCGCCATTTTTTGAACCAAGCTCCTAGGTCATCAACTGACTTTTGGACCTTGTTCCGTATGAAAGGTAGCGAGATACCTTTGCAGTAGAGAGCAGTGTCGTCTGCGAAGAGGGAGAGCTGAACACCTTTCGGCGGAATGGGAATGTCGTTGGTGAACAGTATGTACAGCAGAGGAGCAAGAACTGAGCCCTGAGGGACACCAGCTTTGATGGGGCGCTGTGAAGATAGCGTGCCTTCGTGTCTAAAACGAAAGGTACGATGATTAAGATAAGAGGCCACGAGACGTACTAGACGATCGGGGAGACCTATTTTGTATAGTTTGTAGATAAGGCCTGTATGCCAGACTCTATCGAAGGCTTTGGCGATGTCGAAAAAGACCGCGATAGTCTTATGACGACGGGGATAAAAACCGCTGAGGATATATTCCACAATACGGTGAACTTGTTGGGGGCAGGAGTGTTTCGCTCGGAAACCGAATTGATGGGGAATGATAAGAGGGTCACCGTCTGTGGGAAACAGATGGCGCCTCATGCGATTTTGAATGACTCTTTCAAAGAGCTTGCCCATGGCCTTGAGGAGGCTAATGGGACGATGACTGGAGGGGAGATTAAGAGGCTTGCCTGGCTTGGGAATACCAATCACAGTTGCCTCTTTCCACGTAGTGGGAAAGTAACTAAGGTTGAAGCAGGCATTGAAGATAATAGATAAAAGGGTTAGCACCTGCTCAGGAAAGTTTTTTAGGGCTTGGTTGGAGATGCCATCCGCGCCCGGAGCCTTTTTAGGCTTAAGTCCTTTGATGAGGGATGAAAGCTCATCATTGGACACAGAGATAGGTTCGGAGGCTGTAGGGGGCGAGTTCCGGCGGCGGACCTCATCCTCCACTGCCTGGACGTGTGAGGGGTCTACGGGTTGAGAGCTAGGAGAGCATTGAGCGGCAATGCTGTCTGCAAAGCACTCAGCCTTTTCCTCGTCCTCGAAGGCTACCGTACCGTCGGGACGGGAGAGAGGGGGAGTGTGGAAGATAGCGTCTATGCGGAGGGCTCTTGCCATCTGATAGTACGCTGTATGAGAGGGAGAGATATTCTCCATGAGCTTACTCTTTTCGAGGTCTCGAAATTCAGAGAGGCGGAAACGGAGTTCTCGTTGAAGACGATTGGCCGTGCGCCTATATTCGGGCGTGGGATATTTTGCTGCTCTCCGGAAAGCAGCTTTTTTGGCTTTTAATAGGTTGCTAATATGCAGGGGAAGCCCACTATTATTAGCAACCGGGACGACCCTTTCATTCTCCTTAAGGGAGGTTTTAATAAGGGTGGAGAGTGAATCGACCGCGGTGTCGATTTTTTCAGGACTGTCTAAGTCCGAAGATAGGGAGATGGGGGAGTCCTGTGAGTCCAGAGCTTTCGCTAGGGACTCCTTGAAGCCCTTCCAATTTGTGAAGGTTTTAGTAGAGGGTGTTGGGAGTGGTGGCTGATGGCCAAGAATGAGAGAGACCGGTCGGTGGTCGGATCCTAGATCGTCTAGTGTCTCGATTGCCCTAAGGTTGAGAGAAACTCCTTTGAGTAACGCAAAATCTAGTACATCTGGGGCATAGTCGGTGTTATCGGGAAAGTGAGTAACACCGAGAGGACTGTGGACGGTAATATCAAGAGACTGCGTGATATCGAGCAGTAACTTGCCACTACGGGTGGTAGTACGGCATGTCCATTCAGTATGCTTGGAGTTAAAATCTCCAAACATAATGACTGAATTGCCTAGAGATAAAATAGCCTCAAAATCTTTTTTGAGGGGAAGGGTTTTAGAAGGGATGTAACAGGAGGCTATGAAGATGGACTGATGTCCAGTCATAGCTAGCCTGCATACCGTGGCTTCCATGTTGGAAAGTTGCGGAGTAGAAATGGGAGAACAGTGGAGTGTCTTCTTGTAATAAATGGCCGTACCGCCGCCTCGGCGGTCGGGTCTATCATTACGAAGAAGAGAGAAGTTTTTGATGGAAAGGCCTTTAGTGTCCTTAGTATTGAGATTAGTTTCCTGTAGGAGGAGGAAATCGGTTTCACGATTTTGAAGAAAGAGCTTAAGCTCTGGGAGGTTATTTCGCAAACCGCGAATGTTAAAGGATACAAGCGATAAACCCTTAGGTTTGATACGACCGTGGGATTTTGGTAGAGCAACCTGCTCTGTCATTGTGAGTTAAGTTAATTAAGTTAACTTAACTTACAATGAGCACAAAAGATTATGATGCTCTGCAAGAGCGAGGAGACGGTCCTGAGGGGACCTCGCAGCGCGCAATTTGCGTGCTAACACAGCGATTTCCTCAACGTTGATGTTCCTAATTGCGGAATACACCGTTTTTAGGTCATCAGCCATTGAGGGCTGTGATTGTTGTGGTTGAGGGGCGGAGGATGTCCGCGGTGGTACTGCCTTTTTGGGGCCCCAGGGAAAAACTGGAGGCTGCATAGGCTGAGAGAAGCCCGGAGGGGGCCGAATAGTGCCCTGAGGGGGCCTAGGAGGACCCTGAGAGGGTCGAGAGAAGCCCTGGGTGGGCTGAGAAAGGCCCTGACGGGGCATCCGTTGGTAAAGAGCCGGGAATGAGCGGTCATTGACCGGCGGTGGAGCTTGCCTACTGGGGCGAGGATGAGGTGCGCAAGGGCAGCCTCTGTAGTTAGCCGGGTGGCCCGTTTGTTTACACAGGACACACGCGGGTGGGGATTCGGCGTCTTTGGGCCGAGGACACTCTTTAGTGTTGTGGGGTTCAAGGCACTTAACGCACCTGGGTGGGGCGGAGCAGTTGGCCGCCGCATGACCATACAGCTGGCAGCGGTGGCACTGCGCCGGGAACCCGCGCCTATGTGGAGGCTCAACCCTCACTCTCGACAGGCCGCACACTGTGCGTACCTGCCGGAAGATGGCTTTCGCCTCCGGCACGTTGGTTAAAATTACTAGGGCAAGAGAGAACCTCTGGCCTGTTCTACTGTGCATTTTGTGCACGGCTTCTACGGGGAAACCTTGGGACTTAAGGTCCTCAAGGATTTCTTCGTTTGAAAATTCGAAGGGGACGCCGCGGATGACGGCCCTGACTTTGCGCTCTTCCGGAAGAGCGTATGTATGATAAGAAACTCGTTCGGCTGTGAATAGCCTGGTGAGTCGCCGGAAGTCGTCGATTGATTGGGGGATGATCTTAATAGCCTCCCCGAGGTTGATGGCGTGGTCATATTTTATGCAGGTTATTATATTGTATTATTTAAGCAGGTTTTGGAGAGTTCTGTGAATTTAGCCTTGTCTCTTAGGAAGACAGGGGGCGGGACTTGCTTCTTGGCAAGGACTGGAGCACAGCGAGAGGCTGGCTTGGTCGGAGCGGGAATGTCTAGTGACATAAGTGGGGCTGAGGCAGCGGCGGGGGCTGCGGGGGCAGAGGCGGCAGCGGGAGCTGCGGAGGTTGAAGGAGCGGCAGGGGCCGCTGAGACAGGGAGGGTGCGGTTTTTAGCGGCGCGTTTACCGTTGCGCTTGGAGTTCACCGTGGTGAACGAAGAATCCCCGGTTCCGTCGGAGTCACAGGACTCCGATGAGCCGGTGCCAGAATTGGTGGCGGGCCTCTTCCGGGAGGCCGATGCAGAGGACTCGGAGCATGCGTACTCCATTTCTAATGGGGCGAAAGAGTTCTTTGTCTCTAGGTAGGCCGCAAGTACGGGCGGCGGTTGGAGTGCCTGACGGGCAGGGGGAGTAACATGGGCGGCGATGGCGGCAAGGGCCGTCTCATCGAGGTTTAGGCCCAGACCAAGAGTTTGGTTTAGGGCGGCGACGAGGGACTTAATTTGGGTAATTGTGGACATGTTGAGGGCAGTAGTTTTACGAAACGTATTTGATACGGAAGGGGCTAGTGGGTGCTGTTCTGAAAAGAACAGAGACGTTATGTACCTAAACAGTAAGGGCGGGATCACCGTTCTGAGAAGAACGGGA